ACGCCGCCGTCGTTGGGCGCTCTGTTAACAAAGACGCTTATACTTTTAATTCGCCAAATTGTTACCACAAGTCCATCCTGACAATTATTGTTTGTATCCGGCTTTGGTTTCAGCGGACTTATAGGTAACGGAGCCTCCGCCTACCGCGAAAGTCAATAGCCGGGTTCTATTTTTATGCTTCATTGGGCAAACACACGTGGGGGTTGAAAAAAAAATGGGTTAAGGCGGGCTAAAAATGCAGCGTTGCCCAAAGGATATATAACCATTATTGTGTAACATTCTCCCAGCAACAACTCAACAACTTAATTGCTGAAGTGGTAAACCAGAAGCTTTCCCACTCTTTCGGTGTTTTATATGTGGAGGGGCCAAAGCGCGGTTATAGCCAATCGTCATATTTTTGAATATTTCTGTTTCCAGGTCTCACAGTCTTACATATTGCCCTTTGCAAACTGAAAGTTGTATTTTTGAAATGGGACGCCAGTTATCAGAGTATTCTAATCGATTGTCGTTCTCAATACAAGCACTATTATTTAAGGTTTGTAGGGACTTAAGCTGACTGATACACAGAAATAAGCGATTAAAGCAATATATTTCTCAAAGGCTGAACACGACATTGAAAAATCAAATGTGGAGTGAGGTGCACGAATACACGTACGGGATACATTTTTTTTTTAATGGAAGCCTCAGTAAACAAATTTGTTCATGTAACGACCCCCCCCTCCTGAAATTTTTGTTTAACCTTTGGGAAAAATCATCAAATACCAAAGTTCAAAAAAAGTAAGCTATTTGCAACATATATTTTTATATCTTTATTAATAGCTGTTTAGACAACGGTATTAGAAATAGAGTGGAGCACTGTAAATATTGCTTGTGGGACACCTATATGTCGGATCATTTGGCAATTGCTGATACTTACACCGATCAACTAAGCGATAAAACCAACAAGACTTATGTACTTTAGGCCCTACTGCGAAGAAAATATAAATAAATGTATAGTTACGCTGCAAAGTGTTGACTGGCTATCCATAATGGACAGCAGGGACATTGACATATCATTTAATGTTTTGCCGAGAATCCTTCTGCGACTGATTGAGGAAAAGAGTTCACATAAAAAATAAACATAAAAAATGGTTCACCAACGAGTTAAGATCTTACAGAGATATGCTAAACTTATTAAGAAACTTAAAAAAGACTACAAACATAGAATAAAGATAACCAAAAGTAAATTTTACTTTGACAAAATTAAGAATATTGCGAATAAATCCAAAGTATTATGGGGCATTGTAAAGAGTACAAACAAGAAATGTAAAAAGCTATTAAATTCTTCGCTTACTTCAGAATAATTTAACTCCTATAACTTACAAAAAACAGATCTAGATTCATACAATGTGACAACTAAATATATACATCTCAATGTTCCTGAGACCAGCAAGTACAGAAGAAGTGAGTAAAATTATTAGTGATGAAGCAGTACCTGCACCTAGTATAGCTTTCCCTCTATCAATTATTGTTAATAAATGTGTTCTTTTGGGTACATACCCGAAAGAACTAAAAGTCAGCAGAGTAATATCAGTGTTCAAGAAGGGAGAAGATAGTGATCCAAACAATTATAAGCCAATCTCCATAGTGCCCTCTATCTAAACCTACTGAAATATGTTTTAATAATCCCAGTTTGGATTTAGGAAAAAAAGTCAACAGGTGCAGTAAATGAATTGGTGGGACATATTGTCGGGTGCCTCTGTTTCGGCAGTATTCGGTGACTTCTAAAAGGCGTTTGTGTCACATCAGACATTGCTATTGTGTATTTTATTTTGTGTATTTTATATGTAAACGAACTTTCAGCCTCCTTTCCAAATACGAAAACAGTCAAATATGCGGACCATACCACCTTGTTCGATAGTTCCACTAACTGTGTCCTAATTAAACAAAATTTAGATATAACACTACAAAAACCTCGTGAGTGGTGCTGGGTGTATATCTAGACAACCGGTTGTCCTGAAAGAATCACATAAATGAGCTTACAAACAAGTTAGCCTTAATATTACACCCCTGAATGTATGTCGAACTGCCTACTGTCTCTTTCAGTCGCGAATATTATATAGACTTCTATTTTGGCGGAGCTCTGCTGATTGGGAGCTCGTATTTAAAATGCATAAGACCGTACTAAAAATTATCGGTAAACGCAAACCCTGGGATAGCTGTAGGTATCTATTCAGGGAATATAGGATTCGGACCTTACAGGGTCTGTTTGCCCATGAGTGTCTAATTTTTATTAGGTCGAGAAGGTAGGGCTACCTAACTGTCAAAGATAGGCATATCTATAACTGTTAATTTACTTCCGCCCGCCATAAGAGACCTACCAATCCAAAGATATAAAACAGAAGTAAAGAGAATTATCCTGAAGATTGAGATCCGTACACAGTGGATGAGTTTGTTGCTGGATTGGCGAGGGTTGTTTAAAAATTTTAATAATTATGTAATAGTAAATGTAAACCTTATCTATTGGCTTAGTTAAATTTTTATCTATTTGTATTTCACTTTATTTTTTGTCGTGTTTAATTGATCACTATTATGTACTATGGAACGATGCTGAACATTATGTAGTATGGAAAAGCAAATAAAGCATACTATTGTTATATATACAGGGTGTTGCAGAAATCACCCACAGATAAAAGTTATTTATTTTTGATGGAACATCGTATATAGTATACGCTTAATAATATTCCCCAAAAATTCTGTACATTTCTTGTATAATATGTTCTATACTCAAAACCGATAGTTTTCTAGTTATATCAATTGACATGTACAGCTACCAATTACAGATTTAGTAAAACTTACGTTATTTTTATTATAAAATGCCTTATTTTGAAAGGGAAAAACAATTCATTTTGGAAGCGTTTGTTAAAGCAGATAAATTGGTTCAAAGGGAACTACGCGAATCCAGAAAAACCTTTCATTCAATCTATGAAAAATTTCAACAGGCATCCAGTCTATTCAGAAAGAAGAGAAAGAGATGAATATTTTCATAAGAAAAACATCGGAAAGCCTGGAAAAAGAGTTTATTCAAACCACTCTCAAAAAAACAGGATACAAGACATTCAAAATTAAGACTACGGAATCGGCATCGAGAAAAAATGCTTGAGTTTTACCATACAATGTTCTTCGACGTTACTTTAAACGGTAATGGTTATCTAAGTTTTCTTCAGAACGAATTGGAAAACTATATGGATGAGCTCCCATTGGAATAACTAATAACTAATTGTGTAGTATTTGTATTTTTGCATATATGATATATGATATGATAAAGATGAATCAATAAAAAGGCCACCCAATAGACCTGACCAGAGAAGTCTAAAAGTACGTGTAAACGCTAAAACCATCGAAAGGAGAGAACATCTAAAAAACCCGATTAGAACAAAGGTTCAAATTATAAATGAATAATATTCCTGTGGAAAGATTATTAAGAACATAGATCAGATATATTGAAGTAAATAGAGGACCAGTTGAACTTGCATTTGTAAAACTAATTAGCTACATATAAATATTATACCTACCTAAACTAGAAGTGCTAGAATATTTTTTAATGTTGCGTTTAGGTTAACAAATATTTCGAAAACTGAAATTTAGGTATAGGATACAGGTATTAGGACGTAATTTGATATTAGGGTATATTATACGAAATGTATTCTCTTCTTTCTGGCATAAATTCGAGGAAAGTTTTTTTTTAAGGCGCAATTTAGCCCACTTATTTGGTTTAATAAATGTTTCTGAAATTCATTGTTTTTTTCTTTGCCAATAAGGCATTTTATACATGATAGAAGCAGCATAATTTTACTAAATCTGTAACTGTGACTGTCAGTTATAAACAAATATTTGGTGTTTTGGCGACGACCTACTTCACAGCCACCTAAGATATAAATTATAAATTCTAGAATATTACTTTATTTTTGAATGTTGCTTTTATGTTAAAAGCGCATATAGCCCTAAAACTATTGGATTTGGGTATAGGTATGGGCAATTTTTAGGGGATTTTATTAAGCGTATAATAAACAGGGTGTTCCATTAAAAAACATATAACTTTTACCCTTTTTTGAACAACTTTTGCACTTGACGTTTTTTCCCCAATCGTTAAATCAAAATTAAATGGGGGTGGCATTATAAATGATCATTCGGTACAGTATGTCAATAGGGTTTTCCAACTCCTGTGCTTGATTTTCGTGAAACTGAGGATGCCGTTTTCAAAACAGTTGGCTTTGTTTTTGAGAAACAGCGTGAACCGGAAAATTTGACAATTTCAGTTACCCTTTTTATTTCAAACACCCTGTATCGTAATGACATGATGAAAAAAAAATCTTATAGACCTCATTACGTAGATTACAGTTACTTACTTAGATTTGTTGCAAAAGACATAATTTTTAAGACACGAACTATTTGAAAATTAACTTCGCCTTTTATATGCTTTTCAAAATGCATAATTGTTAACGTATGTCTTGACATATGTATTAGAAACATATATTTTATTCCGTTTAACATATAATAATTATTATTGTTATAAGGAAAATTACAAAATACACAAAATAATAATCATTTGTCCAGAGTAACTGTATAAATTCTTTTCAAAAATAAATCAGAGTAGTTTAATTAAGATATATGTATATATGTTTATTTAAAACATGTATTTAGAAAATTATACATATTTGAAAAGCGTGTAAAAGACGCAATCAAATTAATACAAAGTGTTCGATTAAAAAAAAAAACATAACTTTAGCTCGTATCTTTTATCTTTTACAAAAAATCTGAGTTTGGCACCGGATCTTGCTAAATATCACCTTCTGAAGAGTGATTCTCAGTCGCGCCTTTGTTGACTCATCCTGTATAGTTTTTAGTTAATTACAATTAAATATATTTTTTTATTAAAATGAGTTTAGGTAGGTTAGGGTGCAAAAATCAAACAATTTTGTGAATTGTATTTGCTGGTAAATTGGTGATGCTTGTTTCAGAATTTTATTAGGCCTTTTAGAGAACACCACATCGATCCGACGTCGATCACTAGACATGACTTCATAGAGACGAATGGTGATAATTTTATGGTAACCATTCCATTTCTGGGCCGCATGGTCTGGGATTTTATTACCCTCACGGAACACGAAGTGCAAAACAAGTTCACTTGGAACTGCTACGTTTTCTTGCTGGCGGTTTTCGTCGCAATGACTAATCAGGTATTAGATTTAATATCACATATTTTTTGCCTCGTTTATTCAGTTTATTCGAAACTTTTTGTGAATATACTCAAAAAATATTCTAGATTCACAAGTGGTCACACACCTACTTCGATTTACCGCCTTGGGTGGTTTTCTTGCAAAATTATCACGTGATTCTACCTCGTCGCCATCACAGGATTCACCACGTCGCACCGCACGAAACGTATTTTTGCATCACTACTGGCTGGTTGAATTGGCCGATGGAAAAACTTAATTTTTGGAGCACTCTAGAGTTTCTTATAGAGGCATTTACTGGGTACAGACCTCGAGCTGATGATATGAAGTGGGCGCAGAAACGAACTTAACGTTGTGCCTTATTCCGTATACAAAAATGCTTTTTTTACACGTTGTCAAGTCAAACAGGTTGTGTTGTTAACAAAAGGTACCAAATGTTGTACAAAAATGTGATTTATTTTTTAAGATAGCCACGCAGTCTCTATTTTTTTTGTAAATCAACTAGCTCCACTTTTCCGGAGATCTCTTGTTTAGTTTGTTAAGCTTTCATTGTACAAGTCCGTTAGAAATCTAAATTAGAACGAGAACTTTCGCTTAAGTGTTCCATTGCAATACAATTCTTATCGTCTGCATGGCAAGCATATAGAATATTTTTTGTAGAAGAAGGTAGAATACAAAATACTTAGTGATATAACTGAAATTTTGTATTTTTATGGTGTGATGACATTTTTAAAAATATTTATATCCTTAAATAAAGTTTATTATTATTGTTATTTTATTTTTTGAAATTATAAATTTCGGATATCACCCAACCATTTCGTATTACATCATAATCATATTTCAAAGAGAAAATACTTCTTCTTTTGGGGTTGGCGCTGCTACTAGGCAGTTTGCCAGCACTAAGAAAAATACTTATATACTGCTTTAAATCGATGGAATAAAGTAATCGACGAACACAGTTAACCTGTGGCGTAATGAATATTTCAGTAAGTAATTGCCGGTTAGTGGCCTAATGGCTATCATATATTTGCCCAATGCTTTCAGGTTAGGGTTTCTAACCAAAAATTTCATTTGGAGTGTTTTGTAAACTTGTCTCCACTTGTTCATTTTATAATGGTAATATTAATTTTGGTTACGACTGGCATTTCACGATTTTTGTATTTTAGTTGCCACTGTCGCTTCTTCGGACAGCCCAAAATCATCCAATGGTACTGTCTCTCTTTTAATTTGTAATGTGTTTTATAAAATGGAAACTTTTAGTTGGTGGAATTGAAAAATGGCGAAACATACAATGGACATTTGGTGAGCTGCGACAACTGGATGAACATAAATCTCAGGGAAGTCATCTGTACGTCTCGGGTAAATTTTGAGCTGAAACAATGCTGCAAAACTGAATTTGTTAAATTTATGTATAGGATGGCGATAAATTTTGGCGGATGCCAGAATGTTATATCAGAGGTAGTACTATAAAATATCTTCGTATCCCAGATGAAGTAATTGACATGGTCAAAGAGGACACCATGATAAAGAATAAACAAGTGAGAGAACAAAAAGGAGGCAGGGGAGGACAGAATCAAAGAAATAGACCTGCTGCCAGAGGTAAAGAAATGAAGTAGAATATGCATAACCAGGCTTGTTTTCTTCCAAGGCAAAAAACAAAATGGAGAATACCTATTAAAGATTATTGTTTTCAGGCAATTTTGGAGGAAGAGCCGGTAAGCCTGGTGGTCAACCAAAACCCTTCCAGAAGCAAAAACCAAAATAATGGACTTATGATTGAAGTTTAAATATATTTAATTTTTTTACCAAGGTTTAATTTAGATTTTGTGAATAGTGATTGATTAACTTATTGATCCAAATAAATAATTACCACATTAAATTACCACTTTGCCTTTATTATCATGATTTTATTGTAATCTCACCTATAATAAAAGGATAATGTTTAGCAACTAACAAATCATGTTGACAAATATTAAAATTTATACAGGCCAAATGTAACAAATGTCAAGTGAACACAAGACTAAAAAAAAAGAAAAATATTGACTTCTACTGTATTTGTTACTTTTTGATTGTAGTTGGTCTCAGTCTCTGAAAAAATTTGAATTAAGGTTACATGCAATTGCAGATGTCAAGCAGATAACTAACTGAAAGTTCTTAAAAAAGAAACTATATTGCACCTAGGCAACAATCTTGGTAGGAGACATATTATTCCTCCTACAATTACCACCACAAACCAAAGCTTTTTTATTTAAAAATAAAATATTTATAAACAATACACATTTTTTTAATGAAGAGTTATTTCAAAATAGGATGGTGAAAAAAATGTTTTTAATATGATTTTAGATTACAATCAAATTTGGGGATCATCTTTCAAAGTTTAATTAGTTAAGTTTTGAAAAGAGCCCAAACTATTATTGGCAAATTTTGATCTACAATTTTAAAAAAATTTGGCATGTGGCTTTATAAATCGGGCACCCTTACATGTCCTTTTTAATTTTATTATGAACTGCAAGTTGCTGACCCGCGTTTCTGTTTTGCTTTGATTATCTACACATAATTGCACTTTCTTTGCAATAGGTACCCCAAAGTTGTTTTAATAATAAACCCAGCTATAACACTAGCACTTATAGTATATTCTTTGTGAAAGCTAACTCCATTTAGACTAGAACAATCCTAATTAAAAATTAAGAAAGGTGCTGTTAAATTATATATTATTTTAAAACTCAACTTTATAATGTCGGTTCGAGTAAATGGTGCGACAATTATATTTCGTTTGGTGTCATTTGGAATATAAAATGTATAGATAGGTATTTTACATCGCAAGGCTAAAATAATTTAAGTCATGTATGATAGTCAAACTCAAAATTCACTTTCGAACATTATTCTATCTCTAGAGGAGGCGCGCTATATATGGTTTTGGCATATCAAGGTCGCTCCTATCACATTCATTCGAAAGTTCCCTATTCATTAAAAATAATTTGTATAATAATCACATACTTATAAATTATAAATGGCTTTATACATAATTTCATTCTACTACACTAGGGTTCCTATGGCAAATTTTCCATTTGTATACAAAACGTTTTTTTCAAAAAGTCGTCTCACAACACAATTCAACAGTATGAAATACGAAATAAATAAAACAGAAGACGCGTCATAAGAAATTAAAAATACTAAAACCATTGACGGGAAGCATTTCCTTTGGCACTTTGTGCAAATTTCGAAAATTTGTGCCGATTCTACAAAATAAAAAAAGAGATTTTTTTTTATTTTCACACAAATAGCATTTCAAATGGAAAATTCGCTTTAATATGGCAGCGAGAATATTTTTATATATACGTTTACATTTAAATATTTACACATTGGTTCACGTTTGGTAATAATAAGATAACTATTTACCCAGTTTAAACTTTGCAAGCTAATTAACAAATAAAGAATTAAAATTAAATAACACTTAAGACGCGAACGCGGCCGATCGCCCTCGGACATTATATTTTGATATGAACAGGAAACAGTCCTGCACAACGAGAATCCTCCTTCCACATATATTTTTTTGGCAGACTCTTAAAGCTTAGTCCTACAGTAAAAGCTTCTAGAAATTTAACACTTTGTAGAGTGGAAAACCAATCAAAATTAGTACAAGTTTTTATGCGATAACATCATAAAACAATGCGGATATATACATTAATAAATTAGAAAAAATGAAAACAGGAGAGACTTTCCGCGCTTTACTAGTCCTAAAAAAAATGTTTATTGCCTAACTTAAGTGTTATATTATAAATTGCTACAGGGTGGTCCTCTACATGCCATCAAATATGCTTAGTTTTAATTAAACGTATACAATACAAATATTGTATTTTATTGATATCTTTTAATTGACCATCTGAAAAAACCGAATGCTTTTTATGATTTTTTTCTCGTTTCAAGCGACAAATTAAAAAGGAACGCATTCACGGTGCAAAGTTACCAAAAAGATTAAAAAAAGATACACAAAAATTAAACAAATACAATAATAATCTCTTTCAAAGAAACTTCCACAGGCTACTGTAATACTTTTTACAAAACTTCTGGAGTCCTCCTGCGTCGATTAGACTCAGCAAAAACTGATGCAGAAGGAATCCAGATGTTTTGTAAAACGTATAATAATAGTCCATCCAATAATATTTAATTTATTATATTATATTATTTACTTCTATTGTTGTTCAATTTTCCAGAAACCAATATTTTAATTACTATTTAAACACCCTGTATCTCCAAAAAACAACAGTTTTTTGGACCTAAGCTTATAAGTAATAAAATTCGAATTCTTTTTTGTTTTGAAAGGGAGTGGAAGGATGGTAAAACGAATAAGCAAATCCTTTTTCACCAATTGGCTGCAAGGTGAGTACTTCTCTAGCGGCCACCCTGTATCAGAGTTCCCACTAAAAAAATCTGCTTTCACAAATTTCCTTCATTTTTTTGCAGTTTTCCCTGATGGGTTTTTCTACTTTTTTTAATCTAGTCGAAAGAATAATAAATACCTTAACTAGGTAAAAAAAATTGTATTTCAGGAGCCTGCATAGTACAACATAAACCAAACCAAAAATATTTAAACAAAATAATTAGACCATAAAATAGTGTTGAATAAAAATGGAAGGAATAAGAATGACCAATGATCGAAAAATGCCTAGACCAGATGACGATTTAATTCACTGACTTTGCCAGCCTTTCTAAGTTAGTGGGAACCCTGACAGTATAATATATATTTTTTGCAAAGATTTCTTTTTACTTTCAATATGCCTCAAGGCTGCATATTAACAATCCCTTGCCACACCTAACTTAACCTTTAGGAGCCTAACTCGGACTTTCTGCCATATCGTGATCAGTCTTGCCAACTATCATGGGTTCCCCCGCACCGCCACTCTGTGTCGGTGAGGGACTATCCACATTTCTGAAAGTGTACCCAGAGCCAGGGGAATCAGCGCTAGATAAACTTTCTGGTGTTCCCACAGAACTTAAAGATCCAGGTAGTGATATGGTGGTAGTTGTCAATAAACCCCGTTCCCCACTATAACTATATACTCTTTTAGTTCGCGGGCTCGTGTGAAAATCGCTATCCCTCTCGTCTAGTTTACGCTTAACGCCACCTAGAGGGCTGGGTCGGAAGACCGGGCTCTCGCTACGACGTTTCGTAAAGGTTGGTCGCGATCTAGTGGGACTTTGAAACCCGTAGCATCTATGGTGTTTTGAAAATGATAAAATTTTATAATTTAACACTTAATGGGGCTCTTACCTAGTTGGAGATGGTGAGTTGCATGCGAAATTATTGGCAGGCAATGAAACGTGTATGGGGCCCATACGGTTTCCTTTGGTATCGTTCTGAGATTCACTCATCAGGTTCAGATCCTCCCAAGATTGGGATATCTGCATTGCACTGTGGATTTCGCGTTCGTGAGCGAGCTCTCGAGAATTGCTTATTACATCGTGCTCTTCTTGTCGCAACTGGTTTATCCTCGGAGTGAGACTCAAGCTGGATACCTAATAAATATTTATTGAGACTTCTGCTAAAGGTATATGAGTATGGTTCAATAATATTAACCTATTGTCTCAGAAAAACCTCTGGCAAAGTTAAACAACCAAAAAATCAATAATAGTTATTTGCAACTTTCCAACAGTTATTGCGTGTAGGATTTTGAAAATAATAATAATATATTAAACGATATTTAATATTAAAATTTATCGTTATCATGTCAAACTTACTGGTGAACCAGGAACTTGGCTGTAGCTGGCACTAAATCTTCTGGTCCTAGTGGCGTTCAATGGGGCAAAATTAAGAGTAAAATTTGGTGGTTCTCTGTAATCAAACCACAAGGATAAACAACTTTTTCTAAAATAAAAAAAAAATCAAAAATGGAGATTTTAGTTTTTACAAAAATTAAGATACATTTTTTTTATTAAATTTCTTAATTTCTAAGCTATATCTTTCCAAAATGTAAGTAAAGAATAACATTAAAGGTTCCTTTTATCTGCCAGGCGTCAAAATCGCAATATTGCACAGAAAAAAATGTTGATATTCTGGTTAAATAGAACATAAAAAAAGAATTATTGGCAATTGTAGTGGATCACGACGTAATTAAGTAAAACTGATCAAATTTGGAGCCATACCTGGCAGAGCCAGAAGAACTTGAAGCAGTCATGACTGAACTAGAAGTCTCGTTGATCATAGGAGCACTGGAGCATCTTTTTAAGGTTCCGGGACCATTGGAAGGCCCATCAACGTCCATGGCTTGATGATTTAAAGATGACATTCAGTAAAGTTGTTACTACTGCAAACATTGGAATCTTATAAAGACCAAATATAATTGATACTTTCGACGAACGAAATGAACATCGAAAGATTTTACACCATTAAACGACACCCTCGATTAGGATTTGGTGAATCTGCTACAGGAAACAGCTTTTGCCTGGAATTTCAATACTTGGAAAGCGGTTTTCCAGGTAAAGTTCTGTCAAAAGCTTTTTAATAGATTTTAATATGTAAAAGCGCATGTCCGATCCTTAAATATCGATAAAGGATACTTTTCGGTTGACCAGGATTTGAATAGCGGTTCTACCTCCAGACGCCAGATGGTACACCTATCGAAAACCATTTTTAAAATACATAGTTTAATAAAATTTATTTTTTAGGTTAACGAAATGAAAAAATGTTTTTTTTTAATTTTTGACGATATTTTTAGAGTTCAAACCTGAAGAGTTGAAGCAATTTAATAATAATGCATAATGCAACCTGTAAACATGCGTAGTTTGAAACAAAACAGGGAATTTCATACAATAACGGGAATTTATAACCATCGACAACGCCGCATTGTAAACAGCCGTTGTGTTCATGCTGCCAATTCTACAGCAAAACAGTCCGCGCTCCGTCACGACAGAGAAATATCGTGAGTTGTACTGGGTTTGCGGGTATTTTTCGCATAGACTGTCCGACTTCTAGTGAAGTGAGAATGGCGTCCCGCAAAAAACAGGACGAAAATAATCTAAAGACATTGCGGGAGCTGGTAGCTTTGCCACAGAACAAATTTTGCTTCGACTGCGGCCAGCGAGGCCCTACCTACGTAAATGTAACCATAGGGTCGTTCGTCTGTACTAAATGTTCAGGAATGCTGTAAGTACCGTTTAAAAATTGGACAAAGTTCCATCCTTCGGATGTCGATCTATTTCTACCTGTTATTATGTTACTTTCAAAATGATGCATTTAACAAAGGAGAGAGTGTCGAATTGTGGATTTATTTTGCTACACTTACCTATGTCGAAATTAGCAGACAATAGAATTCGCAAGTATAGGAACGGTAATAAAGTGGGTATAGTACATATTGTTTATTTTTTACTTATTTATTTACTGCGAACGATGTCCTTATTCTTGATCCGAGCTTTGTACCGTCCCAGTCATTTGCGACTACAAGATTTTTGCGTCTTGTCTTATTTTTATTTATAGAGCGGACGTTAATATACGAGTAGATTTGCGTGAATATTCCAGATACTAAATGGATTTCTTTAACAGTGATATGTATTATTTTAACAGTTAATTCGTTCCGAAATCAACGCATCATTGCCTAGCTAGAGACGATAGTAGGAATACTATAAATAATAAATTATATACCGAAGATGCGACGTCATGTGATCCGAAAAATTTGACTCCTCTATTTTATAATTGTAAAATTTATTTTTGTTTGGTTAAAAGCTAAGTATAATCAGTTGTTGTTTGCTCGGTTATTTGGTCAAAAGATGTAGGTTTGGATAAATTACACCGACCCCTATTAAAACAAATGATGTGTGCAGCACCTGACTTCCTGGGTCTAACTAATTTTGTAACCCTTATTTAGACCTCTATATAAAAAAGGTACCTGCGAACTATCCCTTTGTGAATGGATATTTTTGTTACCTTTTTTTGAAAGTAAATGTTGAGAAATCTTTTTGGTTAGTTTTTGATTACCCAGTTAGCATTATCATCCCTTTTTTGTTTAGCGCCCCAAATATGATTAAAAAATTCAGTAAATTGTTTGCTTACTTATTGCATTGCTTAAATTTAAGATCCTGATAAATATGCGTATCAACTTAATCTCATCTGCTGTAAAACAAATATTTGACGTTCCATTTAGAGTTTAAGGAATTGTTAAATTTAAATAGCGATTACTAAGTAAAACAGCGACCCAATGTAGCAAAAGCAATAGTACTTTTTACCCGCGTTAAGCGCTTTTAGGTAACTTGAATTTTAAGAATTTCCTCTCCTATGTGTTATATGCCGAATCAACCAAACCTGGCGGTTAATGCGACCTAATTGCAAGTTTTAATTTAATTACTGATTATTAACCTTTCGTATACGTATGGCCGATGTATTGATCAATACGGCGTCTGTTCACTTTTCTTGTATACGGCACGGGATTTTTATGGACATGAAAGCGATTTTAATTTTCGTTTTTAACTTTCGATTAATGTTTGCCTTCTATTGTCTTACAGTCGACGCGATATGCGAGTGCAATATAAATATTTTTGTTTGTTTTGTTCCATGGCGCAAGGATGGTGTAAACAGGAAAACGTTTTCGAAAATTAAAGAAAATGGCTTTTCGAACACAAAACGCTTATGTGTGACTTACATTCAATTCCGGACGTGCTCTTTTTCCTTTCGAAGTGACGATTTTTCTATCCCTCGAATTTTAAAGCAAAAGACTTTCTTTTCTATAACTTATTAATAATTATTATTTATTCTATTATTATTATTAAATATACTAGTAAATATGCGGAGAAAAAAATAGGAGTATACAGGTTTTTTTCATTCGTATAATTATTTTTGTTTACAAAAATCCCAGATTGTACCAGGAGTTGGAGTTTCATTTTAAAAAAGTACTTGAAAAATTTCGGGAACGCTACATTTAGTTACAACGATTGTATACGTATTGCACAGGTAAATAAAGAATGGGATTGAGATTTACGAATCTTGGTCTGAACTTCTGGTCTAGCCTCATCTATGGCACAAGGGAAAACAGTATTCTTTTTCCTTTTTGGTTAAAATCGACGGTAAAATTCGGTTACAATAAGTTTTTAGATGTTTGCCCTTCTAACTTATTCTGGTAAAGTCACCATTTGCGTCAAAGCTCCAGATAGGATTCGCCGATTTCAAAAATACACATACTACCGAGAGTCAGTAATAGTATACTATGTAACAACTGCGGTAAACGGCATTTGACTCACGAGTTTATTTGACACGAGCGGAGCGAGTGTTTCATAAACGAGTGAGTTAAAAAGTTTTTCTACTCCCGCCTGTAAAATACCTAATTACGCACCGATCTAGCGTGCGGGAAGCGTCGCTTTACCACATCAGTTTCGTTTCCCACGAATCCGAGCCACTTCGGACATTTCCGGGATTTTACCGCACGGGTTTGGGAGCAATCGAATGTTTTCGGAGATATTTCCCACGCTTTGAATTTTGACGTTTGTCAATTCTGACAGTCATGTCAGTGAATGTATTCGTGTTTTGCGAAAATGTACCCAAAAACTAACGGTCGTAGAAAAAGTATAGTATGCAACACGTTCGGTAAACTTTTTAACTCGCTCGTTTATTAAACACTCGCTCCGCTCGTGTCAAATAAACTCGTGGGTCAAATGCCGTTTACCGCACTTGTTGCATAATATACTATTACTATACTTTTTCTACGATCGTTAGTTCTGACATGACCGTCAGAATTGACAAACGTTAAAATTCAAAGCATGGGAAATATCTCCGAAAACATCCGATTGCTCCCAAATGCGTGCGGTAAAATCCCGGAAATGTCCGAAGTGGCTCGGATTCGTGAGAAAGGAAACTGACGTAGTAAAGTGACGCTTCCCGCACGCATTTACAGTAACAGCACGCGGGCTAGAAACTTCGTTTAAGTTCGGATCCGCGAAATTGTTATCAGTAACAGCACTTGTGCTAGAGAGAAAAATGCGCGACAGTACGCCTTCTAGAAACTTCCTTCTTTCTTTGGTTAAGTGTGTTTTGTGGTGTTTGTTTTTGAGTTTTATATACATACTATTGTGTAAAAATATAAATATGGATGAAAAAACTTCCTAAGTCGTTTAAGACTAAAATAATTAGTGATAAGATTCTAAGGCTTCAATTAAAAGACAAAGCCGATGCTGAGGTAAGTACTCTATAATAAATTTGTTTCCTAACCTTAAAATAACGGATCAGTTGCCGGATAAAGTCTTTTGGTTCTTGGTTATCTGGTATATTCAGGGTTGCCAATGCTTTAAAATAGTTAATCGCCTAAGGGGAATCGACCCTTAAATTTTGGATTATACTGGGTGTCTCAAGAAAGTATTGTTTTTAATGAGACCCTATATAACATTGCATTTTGATTTGAAATTTGGTACAGAGGTAGTATTTAGGAAGGGGAAGCGACCCTTGAGTTTTGCATTATACAGGATGTCTCAAAAAAGTGTCATTACCTAAAACTCTTTTTTTTAATGAGACACCCTGTATATAATCGCATTTTGATTTGAAATTTGGTACAGAGGTAGTATTTAGGAAGGGGAAGCGACGCTTGAATTTTGGATTATACAGGGTGTCTTAAAAAAGTGCCATTGTCTAAAACTATTTTTTTAAATGAGGCACCCTGTATATAATCCTATTTTGATTTGAAATTTGGTACAGAGGTAGTATTTAGGAAGGGGAAGCGACTTTTGAATTTTGGATTATACAGGGTGTCTCAAAAAAGTGCCGTAGCGAGTAGCCAATATGCTAACAGGGAAATGTTTTTACCATTACAGCGTACTGTCAGTGAGCAGGAGATGAAGATGGATCCAATTACTGTAGAGAATTCGTATAACAAAACCAAAATGGAAAGCAATGAAGGTTCCAACAACATCGACAAAAATTCAGAATTTATTAAAAATATGCCCTCCCCACAGGAAATTCCAGTCCTTAAAAATGAATAGCAAAGTGTCTGGTTAATAAAAACAAGTATGCTAATAGTGACAATAATTTGAGTAGCGGTTTATACCACTGTTTTAAATATAGTGGTGTTCGTAGCGTAAGGGGACAAACTAATTTGCGTAATGGCAAAAAAATACCCGTGCAGCCAACTACCATTTCAAGAAGAAAGTCATTGTTGTGTGGACGAAGAGCTCAAACAGCAGGGAGAAGTACTAAAAGGCTTTCAAATAGCAAAACAAAAAATCCGCATTCGCTTGCCAAATGTGTTAGAGAAAATAAGGGTCTTGGAGGAAATACATTTAAAAAGTAATTAACACCTTTTTTTTTTATAAGATAGACATAGGTCGCAATAATGTTTAAAATATACTTCATTTGTTTTTGTTTACGTTAAGTAACAAAAATGTAATTCTTCTATCTTAAAAAATCAATTTCAGTTACATTTTTGTAAGTATTTTTATGCTACCTTGATAAGAATGTATTCTTTCTACTGTTCTGTTTTTTTTTCAAATATAACACTGCTTCTATGTGTATTGGTATGTGTTTTAGTTTTGTTGATCTATACTTATCCATAGAAAAAGTGCTGTTTTGATTATCGCTCGTGCATGAGCTGTAGTCAACATTTTAGTAACATTTTCTAGCCCTCGTTTTATTACTGGTAACTGCTGTTAGTTGTTAGAGTGTTGTTACTAGCCACGGCTTCGGAAAAACATATTTTCTAGCCCGCGTGTTGTTACTGTAAATGCTTCCCGCCCGCTAGATCGGTGGGTAATTAGGTATTTTACAGACGGGACTAGAAAAAATTATTAACCAACCTATAAAACTGTCAAAAAAATTTAATAAATTTTAAATTTAGAGATGTTTTATCGGAAGTGAGAAACTTTCTTATTTGAAATGGGATACCATGTATATTTTCCCAGAGATTTTCCGATTTTTGTATTCTACAGGTAAATCCCAGTAGGACATGTTCTTTACCTTTTTTCGATAGCTCTAATAGTTGTGGAAATAATAGCGTTCAAAAATTTCAATATGTCATTTTTCCTCAGTCCATTTAAATAAGAAATAAAACATACATTAACCAAAAAATTGGCAGAGTATTTTTTAAGAAAAGAAAATTGGACTTTGCAATAGTTTTCCGCAAAAATTTCGAATGGAAACCCTTCAAAAAGTTCCATTTTTATTATTCTGAATTC